ACACACACACAAATAGAACTGGAAATTAGATCTTGTTTTTCAATTTCTTTAGTATTCCTTCTTATCTCATGAAAAAAATCATCAGTACAGCTGATAAAACTCCATGATGATATGTGGCTTCAAAATACCAGATGTTCAGTTTGCTAAAACAGCAATGAACCCATTTGAGATGGAATATCAAAGAAGTGAGTTCTCTAGCTTTTGACACAGATCATTTTACAAACGTACCCTCCAAAATCCATCTGTTTCACTGCTGAAATAGTCTACATGAAACCAGTAGCATTATTTAAATTGAACAATACTTATCTAGGTATTTCCTAACAAAGTGAGTCCTGGGGACATGGAAAACAGAAAATTCTGAATAAATACTGACCTTTCTCACTAGGAGAGAAAGGCCAAAACCCAAGAAAGCTATATGGCAAGCCACAGGATGTTGCCCTACTCCACAAGGACCAGCCAGCCCGGGAAAAGTCAGAACATACTGTACCTCCGCCATTTCTGGTGATTTAATCTCCTTGATTTTGAAGAAATAGCCCAGGGTCAGGAAAGCTATGGCCATGGCGCTCACGCTGATCATGAAGACCACCAGGGGAGGCCGACTGCTGATGTATACCTTCAGGTTCTCCAGGGGATTGATGCTAAACATTATTCTGATCAGCTCCACCTGAAAGAAATTCATCAGAAACCTCATCCACTGACTTGCCAAAAGGAAAGCTATGATTCTTTTGTTTCTTTTCATGGCCTTGAGGGGTGAGCTGGGTGGGGCACTCATTACTGAATTTTAGAAATGTCTGATTATAACTTCATCGAAAAGATGAGAAGGAAAAAACACTAAAGGTGAACTGCCATTACCTCAAAGTGGTAGGATCCTGAAAGATACATTGTCTCTTTCAGTTTGTATCTTCTAAATATTGTTTGTGGGTATTTTTGTTTGTTTGCTTTAAAAACAGGGTCTCTGGGCAGGGTGCAGTGGCTCACGCCTATAATCCCAGCACTTTGGGAGGCTGAGGTGGGCAGATCACAAGGTCAGGAATTCAAGACCAGCCTGACCAACATGGTGAAACCCCATCTCTACTAAAAATACAAAAGTTAGCCAGGTGTGGTGGTACAGACCTGTAATCCCAGCTACTTGGGAGGCTGAGGCAGAAGAATCACTCGAACCTGGGAGGCGGAGGTTGCAGTGAGCTGAGATCATGCCACTGCACTCCAGCCTGGGCGACAGAGCGAGACTCCATCTCAAAAATAAACAAAGAAGCAAACAAAAAAAACCCAGGATTTCTCACTCTGTCACCCAGGCTGGAGTACAGTGGTACGATCATAGCTCACTGCAGCTCCGAACCCCTGAGCTAAAGTGATTCTCCCACTTCAACCTCCCAAGTAGCTAGAATTAAAGGTACATACCACTACGCCCTGCTAATTTATTAAGAGATGGGGGGGTCTTGCTATGTTGCCCAGGCTGGTCTTGAACTCCTGGCCTTAAGCAATCCTCCTGCCTCAGCCTCCCTTAAAGTTTTGGGATTATAGGTGTAAGTCACCATACCCAGCCTCAAATCTTCCAAATATTCTATGATAAATTGTGTTACTTCCATATCACTTAAGAAAAGGTTTCGGTGTGTCAGTAATATGACACAAATACAACACATACGGAAAGAAACTGAGGATGCTCTCATTTCTTGCCATTGAAAAGCTGAATTCGGGCCGGGCGCGGTGGCTCACGCCTGTAATCCCAGCACTTTGGGAGGCCGAGGCGGGTGGATCACGAGGTCAAGAGATCGAGACCATCCAGGTCAACGTGGTGAAACCCCGTCTCCACTAAAACTACAAAAAATTAGCTGGGCATGGTGGCGCGTGCCTGTAATCCCAGCTACTCAGGAGGCTGAGGCA